TCCTGTAAGATATTCTCACATAACCAACAGAGCTCAAGATGATTTATGGTAGGAGGAAACATTTCAAAACCATCCTCTGTGTTGACCTTGGTTTTGCCTTTGAAGAAGAGTGAGCAGCAGATTGCTTCATATAGATGAAAAAGCAAACTATGTTCTTATCTTTTATTGCTGTTGACATTGGTTACAGATGCTTCAAGAAGTATTGAATTACTGCCTAGTTTAAAGATGATATATTTTAGATTAAATAATCGTAGAAATAACTGCAAATGGATATCTTAAAGGCATTATACATTGCCTATTCAGCAAAAGCTAAATGCATTAGGGATTTATGGGCAATATCTACCAGCAGGAAATATCAACACTTGAAATTGCAGCAGGTTCCTTTACTGACCTTTGTTTGGAGACATGTAACTCCCTTTTCCTTAAATGGTATTTCATTAGATGGGGGAAAAAACACTTCTGATCTGCTTGGGGTTTTAGTACTCCAGTACTTCTCTTTTAATCTTTTCTTAGAGTTCTTATTTTAGCAGTGCTAGGGCTGGATCCCAGGGCCTTGCACATGCTAGGCAGGTGCTCTACCACTGAGCTATAATCCTAGCACTGAGTTCTTATTTTGGCACTGTGCTGAACTGTGCATATATTGAGGTATTTTACGTACTTAGGTACTGAAACCTCCATTGGGTGTGTTCTATAGTGGAACTGACCTATTCCAAATTTCACATTTGCTGGAATAAAATAATCAGACAAGAGTGTAATAGCTGGCTAGTCTGTAGATAAGATTGATCAGGATCTTTTAGTTTTTCTGTTTGTGCTTTTTGACACTGCGTTTTTCTTTCCTCTATTCTTTTAGAATAGAAGGTCCCTTTTAGGTCTCTTTTAGAACCTCACTTTCATCCTTTACTCTGCATACTTTTTCATGCCCAAATATCTGAAGAAACTTAGAAAAGAAAATCCACTTTTAGGCAAGCCAGCAAATACCTAAGCAGTAACAGGTATAACTGGATAATTGTGGAGGGTAGCTGTTATTACTAAATTTTTAAAAAGCCTATAATTGTCTAGATTGTTAGAAGGTTGAGGAGTGCCTCCTGGGTGACCTTCATTTCCTATTCTACATATATATATTTAGCTTTCTATTCTGTCCATTTTAAATATTGCCTATCAAATAGTAAACTTCATGAGTGTAAACATTGTAATACTCACTGAATATTTCTTGAACAAATGCATGCATATGCACTTATAACTACCCAGAATTTGGAAAAATAGATTTTTAAGAATACTGTGAACCAAATGGATTGTCTTTGGTATATTTTGTCCTCTATTCTGTGTGTTATTATGATGGGTAGTCTTCAGCTATGATGTTTATGAAACTTAACCATTTTTTTTCCTGTTTCAATGACTCTACTATGCCCAGTAGGGTAACATCACTTTTGTATTTAGGAAAAGACATATGATGTAATTGTCTTTACAATTTTCTGTTGTAATGATAGGAGGAATAGTGACTTACTGTCAAAGATTTATTCCACTATATGCCTTTTTTTAAAATATAGGGATGGCTTAATCAAATTGATTCTTCTAAGCTGGATGTGGTGGTGCACACCTGTAATCCCAGCTACTCAGGATCCTCCAGCTGAGGTAGGAGGATCACAAGTTCAAGACCAACCTCAGCAACTTAGTGAGGCTCTAAGCAACTTAATGAGACCCTGCATCAAAATGAAAAATAAAAAATGCTAGGGAATGGGGCTGGGGTTGTGGCTCAGCAGTAGAGCACTCATTTAGCATGTGTGAGGCACTGGATTTGACATTGTGTCCACCTATAACTAAAAAATAAATATTAAAAAAATGCTAGGGGTTGGGGATGTGGCTCAAGCGGTATCACACTCACCTGGCATGTACGCAGCACTGGGTTCGATCCTCAGCACCACATAAAAAATAAAAAATAAAGATGTTGTGTCCACCAAAAAAACTAAAAATAAATATTAAAAAAAATTCTCTCTCTCTAAAAAAATAAAAAAATGCTAGGGATATAGCCCATTGACAAAGCACCTTGAATTAAATCCCCAGTATAAAAAAATATGGATTTTTCAAGTTTCTAAAAAAGTTTTTAGTTTGTACTTCCATATTTAAAAAAATGTGATATTACTAAATGGCTTGTTTTTAAATTAACATTTTATTTTAGATTTTTTTCTTTTTTCTTTTTGGTACTAGGGATTTAACCCAGGGGTGCTTAACTACTGAGCCACATTCACAGCCCTTTTTATTATTTTTTATTTTGAGACAGGGTCTTCTGAGTTGCTTAGGTCCTTGCTAAGTTGCTCAGACTGGTCCCCAATTTGCAATCCTTCTGCCTCAGCCTCCTGAGTTGTTGGGATTACAGGCATGTGCCACCATGCCCATCGTATTTTGTAATAATTTTAGATATACAGAAATGTGTTAAAGATAGTCCAGAGTTCTGATATATAATTTTTACCTATATTCCCTTAATGTTAACATATTGCATAATGTAACTCTGGGACAATACTATTAACTCTAGAATTCTCTTGAATTTTCATATTTTTCTACCAATTTTTTCTTATTCCAGGATTCCAAACTTTTGTATGTATTAATCTTAGAAAACATATATAGATAAAATGATAAAAAGCAAACACAGTATTATAATCCTTGTATCAAGACAACTGATATTTTAGTATATATCCTTCTATATTTTTTTTCTTGTGGAGAATATAAATCCATTCCCCTGCAAACTATTTGAACTTCTGTAAAAGTTAGTTTACAAAATGTATTTTGCATACCATTTTTAATTTGTTTTTTTTAAACACAGTATAACAGTTTCTTGAGGATCCTATTCTCTTTCCACATCCACTGTTTTTATTATGGTTCATTCTCTACCCTTAGATATCGTTTTATGTCAATTTTTTTTGCTTAGTTAATTCTTGATATCTTTAAGTAAAAGACCAACCATGCATGTAGGTGTTCTCAACCTTTTCCTTCTTAATAAACCAGAGAAATATGACATGTGCCCCTCAGTAAGTGACTTCTCAAAAGGCCAGTGATTTTGAATATGTGTGGTTTTGTGTGTTAGGTTGACCATTTGAAACTGCCTTTTTTTTTTTTTTTTTGTATGTAACAGATTTTTTGCTGTTGGCAGTTTCATGTGGTTCATCCTAAAGGTTGAAAAAATTTTCTAGGTTATCCCCTTCTCTCTTTTCTTGTTTCATTGAGAATCATAGTGAGCTACCTTCCAGGAGGCGCTGATAAGTACAACATTCTACCCTATGTTGATGGTAGACTGAGGGAACTTGAATTCCTGTGAATTATTTCTGCCAATCAAAGTAATGACGACAGACTTGTGAGCTTTCAACCTAAGCTCTGGGGCACTACTGCCACCTAGTGGCACCCTCTAGACAAGCTGTTGAATGTTTTACTCCACCATATCAGCCCCCCCCCCCCGCCCTTTTTACATGCTTTTCTGTGATCATGGTCACACTTTCCTTTTCTTCTCACCACCTGTGACACTGGTGCTCAAGGATTTCATTTGGCATAGCTGATAATATTCAGGGAGATATACTAGCCTTATAATTTTGCTGTGATATCCTTATTTTAATAGATGCTTTGGAATATGGGGCATGAAATAATAAGTGTAAACACACTGAAGAGACTGTTATTTGCTCTGCTTGTGAAGTCATAGTTCTTCATAAGCAGAATGGGCATAAAGTTTGTACTTGGTCAGAGTATGGATACTTGTCATGTTTAATGGCAAGCCTCTTGCTGTATGAGAGGAAGCAGTCCTATATATCTCAAATGTGAAGAAGCATAAACTTTCACTTAGAGTGAAAGATTTAGCTTAAAATCCTTCTTTGGTTTCTTTTCTCCATTGTATAATTTATTATTTCATTCCATATTTATTCAAGGAATATTTATTAAGCACCTACTCTGAACCTGTACTGTGTTAGGTACTTTAGTGGTCAAGACACACATGATTTTTCTCTTTGAGAAGTAAAGCCTAGCATGGGAACAGAAATTTAGAAAAGTTTAAGTGCAGTGCTATAGGGTGCTTTGATCATAAATAGCAGATGTAGCCAACATAAATAAATAGGAGGTCAAGGAAGGCTTAGTACAAATTTCATTTAAACTAAGACCTAAAGGAAGCAAGAAAAAAGGAGTAGAGAATGTTCTTGACAGAGTAAAAGGTATGTGCTAGAAGGAGAGGTGAGAGATTAAGGGTGGTGCTTTTGAGAAACTGAAACAAGTTCATAATGGCTAGGGCTATGAGTTTAACTCTTTTAAACCTTACAAGAGTCCCAGTACATAGTAGTAGTCCCTCCATGTTATAGTTGTGGCAATTTAGGCTAAGAGGTTAACTTGCCCTAGGTCATTCATCTCTAGTAAATGGCACAGCCTGGAATTGAACCCAGGCTGCCATATGGACTGCCTCTCAGCTAAGACATGGTGTTGTATTTGAAACCTGAATGGTCACCTCCTTACCATTTGAAGCGTAGCTCCTGCTGATCTGTAGTATTCCCACCCCCCCACCCCCCCCCCCCCCCCCCCCCCCCGCCGTGAGCCATTTTAAAAAAGAAAGACTATTCCAGGAGTTGGAGCTTGCAGTTTCTGGATTAATTTAGAAATAGTTCAGATTTGCTTTGATCTTTTATGTATCTGATTGAGAATCAGATACTTCATTTGATATGCAACTCTAAGATTGCTCACCCATATTTTCCAGAAAGTCATAATGGGAAATTATAACTGGTTATATATTTACATATTTTAATTAGCAAAAATATGTATTCCTTGCAAGTGTAGATTTTTTTGCATGCTAAAGTTAATATGGCAGTATATTTTTCTCTGATTTCTAAAATGAAAGGGTGAACACAACTTTTTAAATAGAATTATACTCTTTTTAAAAAGTCATATAAACCAAATCCTGTAAATGAAGATATTTTCTTACAGTGAATCTGATTTATTCTGTACTAAATTATACTTTTTTTTCTTTTTGATACTAGGAATTGAACCCAGGAGCACTTAACCACTGAGCCACATCTCCAGCTCTTTTTATATTTTATTTTGAGACAGAGTCTTGCTAAGTTGCTTAGCGCCTCACTAAGTTGCTGAGACTGGCTTGAACTTTTGATCCTCCTGCCTCAGCCTCCCAAGCCACTTAGATTACAGGTGTGTGCCACTGTGCCCAATATAATGTATTATATATTTTCAAGATTAGGAATTGACTTCAGAAAGTCAATAGTTAAGGTGTTAATCTAGATTTTAGTTGGATTCTAACTGTTCAGTTGTAAATAAACTGTTTAAAATTAATAGTAATTTGATATTGTTGACACATTTGGAGTCATGTTTTGGTTGTCTGTGTTTAATGTCATATACCTAGTGCTTTCATTTATTTGTCTATCATGTGACTTAGGATTCAAAGAGGAGTTTGTACTTGGAAGTCATACTTTTTTGTCTTGTTCTCTGTGGGAAGAGTTGGGGTACAACTACAATCACTACTAGGATATTTCTGCAAAAGAGAGGGTCTTTGATAATTCTTTTGGACAACAGGTGTAAACCAGCATTTGGCAAGCTGGGAAATGTGATCACTTTCATTTAAACCAGTTCATCCAGAGGTTAAGTTTGTTTTACTTCAGAAGCACTGGCTCAATGCAGTTGAGTTAACCATCATCCACAGAGCAATTTCCCTTTACTTTGGAGTAAAAGCATTAATTTTTTTGACTCTAATTTTTATTTTTTTTTAAATTTAAAAGCAATAAGTTTTAAATAAAGATATTATTGTATACTGTAGTGAAATTATATATATATATATATATATCAACTGTATTCTTTTTTTAAAAGAGGGGGGGAGAGAGAGAGAGAGAGAGAGAGAGAGAGAGAGAATATTTTTTAATATTTATTTTTCAGTTTTTGGTGGACGCAACATCTTTATTTTATTTGTATGTGGTGCTGAGGATCGAACCCAGCGCCCTGCGCATGCCAGGCGAGCGCCGTTACTGCTTGAGCCACATCTCCAGCCCTGTATTCTTTTTAATGATACTTAGTGTTGTGAAATCCATGTTGCTAGGCCCTGTTGAAGCTATTGCAGGACACATTCATAAATGTGTAGGCCTTACAAGAAATAAGATTACTTAATGATAACTTTACTGTTTCCCAAAACATTTTGAAATGAAAATGTTGAGGAAAAGAAATGATTCAGCCTTTTCTCCATTCCCCTTCATTATGAAGTCAGCTGGTACACATTTGTAATGTGATATCATAGTTGATTAGAATTTCTGAAGCAGGACCATCTTAGGTAAGATGATATCCTCTGAAGTTTTGAGTTTTTGTTCCCAGAGACCATGTTGTAAACAAGAAAGGAGTGACAGAGTTCACTTCTAAATCTCCTCCTTTCATAGATCCTCTGATCATCAATGTGGAAAGCAACAGTCTGGGTATAACTATGACAGGCGTTTAAGGAGTTATACTTATTTGGTCCTTTTTGCTTGAGATACCTTCTCTAGGGTTAGGCTTCATACCCTGTAGGAGACTAATTCTGGTCAGCTGAAAACTTTTTCATTATGAGATAAAAGCATGTGAGTATAATGGGGCAGTATCTATTTAATCTTATACCAGTATCATCCTCCATTTGAGTTCCTGTTTGTTTGAATAGGATAAGTGAAATTTTTGTCTTTCAGAAATTATAATTTTATCTACATGTGGAACCCTTCATGATTCATGATTGTCTGGCTTTTTGATATTGCCCATCTCTTACTAATACTTATTAATATTTGTTAGTCACATTTTGTTATAGGAGACAGCAAGGGTGCTTAGCCTTCAGAATCATTTAACTTTGTAGTTATATAAGAAAAAATAAACATCATTTTATTTAGCTGCACAGATTGTTTTACTTTGAGTCTAGTTTAAAAACTAAGTAATCTACTTTCCTCAGTACAGTTTAAGTCAACTTTTGGTGTCACTTTACCTCCAGAGTAGGGCCAAACATCTTTTGAGCCATATTCATGATCACTTATCAACACGCACATACATATACTAGAAGAGATTGAAAACCTGATGCTATATTTTTTACTTTGTTATTAATTGATGAAACTAACATTTTTGTAGAAGTTTTTAAAAATGTAGAACAAATATAAACTAAAAGTCACCTATAATTCTACAACTCATAGACATTTTGAATTATAGCCCATATAAATCTGAGAAAATTGATATTGTATCTTCAGTTTCATCTTAAATAAATTTCACTTCATGTATCTTCCATGTTTTCTCATATCCTTAAATAATCTTTGATAATGGTGCATCATTATCTTGCCAATCTCCTTTTGGGGATTTGAGATTGCTCCTAATTTTCCTGTTATCTATACCACAGTGATGATTATTCCCTGTTTTTTGTGTATGTGTCTCGTTATTTCCTGAGGATATTCCTAGAAGTAGGAAGTGAAATTAGCAGGTTATGACTTAAAAAGCTCTTAACACATATTGCTTTCTATAAAACACGTACCAATTCCCACTCTGTCAACACTTTATTATATAAAGTTCCTTTTTATGTACTTTTGACAGGATCGAGTTATTTATTTATTTATTTTTAAAAGAGAGAGAGAGAGAGAGAAAGAGAGAGAATTTTTAATAGTTATTTTTCAGTTTTTGGTGGATACAACATCTTTATTTTTATGTGGTGCTGAGGATTGAACCCAGTGCCCCGCACATGCCAGGCGAGCGTACTACTGCTTGAGCCACATCCCCAGCCCGAGTAATTTATTTTTAATTGGCAATAGTTCTGATGGAACCTCAGTGCATTGCTTTTTTTTTTGGTGTATGTGTGTGTGTGCTGGCTATCGAACCCACGGCCTTGTGCATACAAGGCAAGCACTCTACCAACTGAACTATATTCCCAGCCCATGCTATTTTAGCAAATAAAATTGTTCATGGCAGAAATAAAAAGTAGAGATGTGATATTTCACATAATAGAACTGTAAGGAACTTTCAGCCCTAGGTAATAGTTTGAGAATCATTGAATCAGGTTATGTTTTAATTCTAGGAGTCTATGTTTTTAAAAATGTATATCTTTCCTTTTTTTTGTATAATTTATAGGGGAAAATGTGATTTTTTCCCCAAAAAGTTATTATGCCATAAATATTTGCCGCTCATTATATTCATCATTTCTGTATGTATACTTATTAATATTCATGTTTTATGACTTTTAAAAACAAAGCATAACTTCTGGCCAAAATTATACAAATTATGTGGGAAGTCATGATTGTTATAGGAATTCTTCCTGGTCAAGATCACTAAAGTGGCAAGCATTTCCTTAAAGTATTATTCAGGTCTCTAATATTTTAATGAAAGCCTTGTAAATTCAGATTTACTCGTATCAACACACTTCCTGAATAAACTTGAAAGGGAGAGATTTGGTAAGTTTAGTGTTTACCATTATGCATTTTATTTGTCAGGAATATTTAAAAATCACTATTATAAGTTTCTTGATCCCCTGAGTCAAGAATTATCACTGTGGAAGCAATTTTCGTCTATTGAAAATTTTCTCCTAGTTGTTGTTTCAGAATAGTCAAATTATGTCTTAGATGGACCTTAAAAGCATGACTTATTGATGTTAATGACATCATTACTTCACTTTTATGCTTATTTTGGCTCTGAAACTCTGTTAGTTTGTTAGTTAAACTTTGTTAGGAAGTAGTGGAATTTGACTGCATGCTGTTTATTTTCCCATCCCAGGTGAAGTTTGGCACTCATAGTAGGCACTTGATAGGTCTATGTCTATCTCTATACTAATTAATGGAGAAGTTATGTAACAAAATGAATGCTAATGGAATTATTTCCTAGGGTTGAATGTTTTGGCATTCAAATTAGACTGTCATTGAGCTTAGATGAAAACATGGGTCTAATATATAAACAAGCATTGCTTCAAAACTGGCAAAGTGAAACTATCAGTACTGCAGATTTAACTATGCAAAGAAATATTGCCTTTTTTATAGACTTATACTTACCTACATGTACTCACATTACTGTCCTTCTAGTGCTCAAAAGATTAATATGTAGATTTTTGAGTAGAACTAAGGATTTTGCTTGTCTACAATAGATTATCATTATTCTAAAATATAACAGTGGTAGCTTTTTGTCTACAATATAACTGTACTTACAAGAAGTTTCCAAAAATATCTATTGATTTGAAAACCTGAAAAATATTCTAGCTTAAAAAGTTACAAATGAAGTGAAAGGTAGATATGAACTGTGATAAAACAAATGATAAACCAGCTGTATATTCTGTATATTCTGTATATTCTGTATATTCTCAGTGTTATTTGTTCCATGAAACATTTGATACTATTTACAAGAAAAAATGGGTATAGAGATAATAAGACACAGTCATCCCCCCAAATGAACTTACAGTTTTAGATAAGCGATTAAGAGAAAGTCATAATACAAGGTAATATAATACAATTTAAGAACTAATTAGAATCATTAGGAGTTCAAAGAAGGTCAGAAATTTTAGCTTAAGGTATTAGTGAAGGTGTCCCAGAAAAGATGGATTTTAAGCAGAATTCTGGATTTAAAAAAGGGCATGAAGAAAGAGAACTTCAGAGAATGTGAATATGACATAGTTTTAAAGGCAATAAATGGTTTCTTTGGGGTAGAGTATAGGCAACGTAGATATTTTTGTCTATTAAAATAATAAAAATATTTCATAGTAAAATAGTCAGTGGTACTGATGGGAGTATAAATAGGTACAACCTTTCTGCAAAGTAATTTCTGGTATATATCAATAGACTTTCCTCCTACCTTCACCTTACCACCCACATCCCATAAAAAATCTTTGACCTGGTAATCATATATTCAGAAAATACGAATGGTTTTATAACTTGAAGTTAGTATATGACCCAGAAGCTAGAAAGGAGTTACGTTTTACTACTTAAAACTTACTAAGCTTTATTTGTCCCAAAGAAACATGCAAAATGAAGAGAAAAGCTATGCTGGGAAAATATTTGCAGTATTTAAAAGGGCTTATTTCATTTATATACAAAGTGCTCTTAATGAATCAACAAAACAACGAATAATTAAATGGAAAAATTGGCAAAGGTCTTGAGCAAGATCCTAATATGAGAAATTTAGATATAGTGAAATATTTTTGGATAGTCATTGAATAAAAGTGAAAAAAT